GCCCTGGTGGACCGGAAGGGCAGACCCACTCCTGGGACTGGAGGGTCCCAAATGCACAAGGCCAGGCAGGTGCCCCCTGAGCAGGGCTGCCCACCCCCCCCCCCAGACCCACAACCCTTTCAACAAGGGGAAGGAGCCAGCATGGCTGCATCTTCAGAGTTCTCAAAAGGATTTGAAAGAAATGTGAAACCTGTTTTACTTTTAAATGGCATCCATTAACTCAAAAGTTAGGACTGTATGGGGGGAGAAGTCTGTGTCTCAGTGCCCCCTTCGACCAAGTGCCCCAGGCTGAGACTGGAGGGTAGCGTCCTGTAGAGGACATTCTCCTGGCCTCAGTGGGGCCACATCCTGAGGTCCCAGCACCTGAGGGGCTGTGGACTGTGTATTTTTTTTTTAAGATTTTATTTATTTATTTGAGAGAGAGAATGAGAGAGAGCAAGCATGAGAGGATAAGGTCAGAGGGAGAAGCAGAGCCCCGCAGCAGGGAGCCTGATGAGGGACTTGATCCCGGGACTGTGGGTTCATGGTCCGAGCTGAAGGCAGTTGCTCAAGCAACTGAGCCACCCAGGCGCCCAGATCTGTGTATTTTTAGGACAGTGTCGGCTGATGATGGGAAAGTGTCTTCCCCTCCCAGGCTCAGGGTCTTACAGCTTCCTGACACAACGGACATAAAGGTCAGGGCAGGGGCGCCTTTCTCTGGTGGGTAAATGCAGGGTAACTGCAGGACCAGCAAGGGTGCCCGTGCCCGGGATCGGGGTACAGACCGGGTGAGAATACAGTCCTCTGATGTGGCCCCGGCAGCAACCCAGGGAGCCCTGAACGCTCACTCAGGGGCGTTAACTGTCTTTGTTCGAGTCTGCTGGTCTGGTCAGGAAGGTTCGAAATAACGGTCCACCCGGACATCGAACCAGCCGGCACAGTGCGTCACGGTGGACCCTCTCTGCTCTGCTTTCCCGCTGCACTGACTGCTCAGGAAGGGATTGGTCACAACCTGGTAGCTCGGGCGGGCCCACCTGCACAGGTCCCTGCAGACCCGGCTGTCCCTTCATCTGGGCCGCCCTGGGAGCTTATCTAACCCATTTATTTACTCCTCTCCGGTCTGGGATACACACCTGTGGAACCAGAAGCGGAATCGACCTGGTGGGTACAGCCGAGTAGCTCCTGGAGCTGTCGCATGGTGCCCACGGCACACGGCCCCCTAGGCCTCAGGCCTGTGACAGAGTTGGCAGTGTGACGGCCGCATGGTGTCAGACGCTCTGTCACCACACTAATCCCATGACTCAGATTACCACCAGTGCACCTGGACGGAAGGAAGAAGATGCTTTACCCACTGATGTATGAGCTCCTGAACCTGAGGACATGTGTGTGTCCTGGTAGAGTTTTCCTCACCGCTAAGGCTTGGAAACAAGTTGTTTCTCACAGCTTCGGGGCCTGCAGGATGGGCTGGATTTGGCTGAATGAATCTTCTGTACACCAAGGCCTAGATGGGGCTGTCGCAGTCTGCTGGCTGATAGGCTGGGCTGCAGGTCCCCAATACGTGCCTCATGGGTTATAGGTCCACAAAGGTACTGGGAGGTCATTTATGCTCTGACAGCCCCCTGCCCTGCACCTTCATGCTGTCCCTCCAGCAGTGGCCTCAGGGCTCTGACTTCTTGGCTCAGGGCAAGTTCTTATTCCAGGGACCAAGTGGACTCCACGAGGCTCTGTCCTTGCCCAGTCACTGCTGGAGAGCCCAGAACCCGGGGGTGGGGGGTGGGCTCCCTGGGCTCACATCTCGGGGGCAGGAGGGTGGAGTCTCTCTTTGGGTTTTGGCGGGTCTTTGAAAGCTGAAATGCATAATCAGCGCTCCGAAACCCCTCCCCAGCTGGTCGTTTGATTGTTGTATGTACGGGTCTGTTAAGCTGAGCGAACATTTATCGGGCGCTCACTACTTGCCAGACGAGTGTGCTGTTTCACATGCTGGAGGCAAAGAAAGAAAGGAGACCCAGTCATGTCGGGGGTTGCATGGGGAGGAGGGAGGAGACAAGCGAGCAGGCCGTGTGGCTGGAGGCTGTGGGTCTGAGGGCGGAGGCCTGGCTGAGGATCTCAGCGGTGTCCCAGTCCCAGGACTGGGGGCTGGCTCTGCTGTCATCCTTGGGGGTCTTGCCAGGCTTCTTCCATGGACGTGGGCCATCCAGTATCTCCGGGAGCCATGAGAGGGGGTTAGGGGTGGCGATGCTGGTCCGAGTCCACAGTAGGCAGGGCTCTAGCCTGGAACTGGGGGTGGGGGGCACAGAAGGAGCCCCCCTTGCAGAGACTCTTCCCAGGGTCCGCAATTTGTGCCCTGCTGCTTGTGGTCACTGCACGGGGTGTCGCCCCTCTTACAGAGCGAACACGGACATGTGCCCAGCCCCTCTCTTCCTGTCTCCTGTGTGAGGTGAGCAGAGGGCTGCTCCAAAACAGTGCCCCCCTCCCCGGCAAGTAAATTCCGAGAAGCGCGCCCGCTGCCGTCTTTCCATTCCTGCCTTAGCTCCCGGGGAGCTCCGAGCTCAACGGATCACGGAGTCGCACGTGTTGGGGCTGGATAGATCCATTTTCTTTCTTTTCATTTTATTTTGAACTTCTAATTTCCATGTGAACAGCCTTATCTTTCTAAGATTTTATTATTTTGTGGGGGGGGGGGTGCGTGCAAGAAACAAGGGAGAGAGAACCCTCCAGCGGGCTCGCTGCTGAGCACGGAGCTCGACCCGGGGCTGGATCCCATGACCCGGAGTTCATGACCTGAGCCGTAACCGAGTCAGGCGCTCAACCGACTGAGCCACGCAGGTGCCTTGAGAACAGCCTTATTTTATGCTTGTCTCTGACCTGCCCCGACGACCTCTGGGCGGAAATCGGCCTGTGTACCGAGCAGCCCTTCCCAGGTCGTGATCCCCTGGAGGCAGAGGGAGCAGGTGTGCCGTGCTGGGGCGTCGGAGCAGCTCAGGGTGGAGTTCTTGGGCCGAATCAGTGTGCAGTAGGGGCGGCTGCTCGTAACTCGATTTAGAAACCCAGTTTCATCTGTTTTTTGTGGAGTTTTATTCTCTTTACTATGAAGTGGTAAACTAGCAAGGTATTAAAAAATGTATTCAAAAATGTACATTTAGGGAGATAGAATATTCAGTCATGGAATCGATCTTTTGGGGGACATAGACTCTTCTGTTGTTACAATAAGCTACCTGGCCACCAGAATCTGTGGGCCCATGGAGGTATTCTGAGCCAGAGTGCCTGGAGGCCTGCCTGCGTTCTCCCACAGTGTTCCCCTTCCAGAGCGGAGGCCACCAGGCTGGGGAGGGCCCGCCAGTGCCGTGTGGGTGTGGTCGGTCTGAGCACGTGGAGGGGCGCCCCCGAGGCTCACGGCCGGAAGGAAGGGGCTCTGTCGGGAGAGCCAGCCGTCCGCACGCTTCCCTGCGATGCTCTTTCCCTCCTTCCTCCATCCTGCTCTTCCTGGGGATGTGGAGGGCATAGCCGCCTCTGTACTGGGTGCTGGAGGGCAGCCAACCACCTCCGACCCCTCGGGGGTGGCACAGCTGAGCGCGGTCACCAGCTTCACTCCTCGGGTGCTGGTCTCTGTGACTTCCAGCACCCCCTTCCAGGTGTGGACGGACTTGTTCCTTGGCCCCCTCGAGGCCCTCCGGACAGGACAGAGGCTTCTTTATCAGGCTGGCCCCCTACCCCCCGGCCTGGCAGCGAGGTGTGGGCATCCACACAGGGTCTTCCCTCCCTCCAGTGGAGCGCTAGGCGCCGGGCACAAGGGTTTGGTTTTCCTGGCACGAGAAAGTGTGGTGGCTCAGGAACGATGACACTTTCAGATCACAACCTCTGTCCCCCTTACCCAGGGCCTGCTTCCTGGATATAGGAGCCAGAGTCTGCTCATTCAGTGTCTTTACTTTACTGCTGTCCACGGCTGCCTTCTGCTTGTATTAATAGGTTGGCCGTTTGGAGGTGGAAGCAGGTTCCAGAAGTGCGGTCTCCATCGAATCTGGTTGGCGCACAGCGTCCATTCCAGACATAGGCAGTAGGAGAAAGAGTCATGGAAGATGACCCTGGTTGGGTTCTTAGAATGAAACCAAGGTTTACTTTTCTTTGATGTGGTGGTCGCTTATTCATCCATTCATTCAGCAGATAAATCAGCACCTGCTGTATACCGGGACAGCTTTGCTTTCCTACGAGAACGTCTCCACGTGCTGGGAAGAAGGACGAAAGGCCCCATTATATGCAGCCAGGCAGGGAGATGGCCTCTAGCCTTTGGGCTAAGCAGTCAGCGTGGAAGGAGTGGTCATCTGTTCTGAAGGTGGTCGGGGTGGGACACAGGTGAGCTGAGACGCCCACCCCCATTCTGCGGCAGGGCTCCAAGCAGACTCTGGGAAACGCCTCATTCTCAGCCTGTTCTGCCCAGAGAGGTCCCCAACAGTAAGGACCTGGGGCAGGACGTGGCTGCGGGTGCTGCCCCCTCTCCCAGCCCTCCTGGTCCGAGTGTCTCGTCAGCGTCGGTTCCGGTCAGCCCGCTGCTCTCTGTGGCACTGTCCTCACAGCCCGCCGCCTGGGGCCCCGAGACGGCGGAATGAGGCTCCGCCTGTGCTCACACCGGCATTTCCGTGGTGTCAGGTGTCTCTCTCTCTCTCTCTCTTTTTCTTAAAGATTTTATTTATTTATTTGACAGAAATCACAAGTAGGCAGAGAGGTAGAGAGAGAGAAGGAAGCAGGCTCTGTGCTGAGCAGAGAGCCTGATACGGGGCTCGATCCCAGGACCCAGAGATTGTGACCTGAGCCCAAGGCAGCCGGTTAACCAACTGAGTCACCCAGGCGCCACGGGTGTCTCTGGTTCAGGCACATCTTTCCCTTCTTTCTTCATGGGACCCACCTGGTGGAAGTCAGCAACTGTTGCTTGGTTCTGAGGTTCTTTGGAGAATAAACAGGAAGAAAATTTCAGTTCTGTATCCCCCCCCCACCCCCGTGATCATCTCCCATGAGACTTTCGAATAAGTTTCTTTTCTCCTTTTAAGAAACACAGGAACTTGCAGCTAAATATCTCATTTGCTGTAGAACAACAACAACACCACCTAGACAAACTCCAAGGGGAAGCATGGTGAGTCCTGATTCTCACCATCAAGATGTCAGCCGGGAAGTTCTCAACGTCGGGCTGGTTTTAAGTTTCAAGGTTTGTGAATGCTGCACAGGTGATCTCCCAAACCAGAACCGGAAGACAGAAAGCATCTGTTTGGGGCCTGGCATGTGTGAGGGGACGGCCTCATCGGGCAGCGCAGCGGAGGGGGCCAGGGTCTGCTGCTCTTGCCCCTCACTCTGGAGAGGCCCGTGGGCCACGTACTCTTTGGCCCCTGTGGAATGTGGTCGCATTCAATGTGGAATGCGTGTGCACAGGACCTTTCCCATGTGCCGGGTTTGGCTCAGATTCACCTGCCTCTCACCAGCTTGGCCGTGTCTCCATGGGCCTGGCTCGCGCGCACGTGGTGTGTTCTGGAGCGTGGTAACTCGGTGGCTCTACCGGAGAACATTCGTTGTTTTTCTCTTTCTTCACCCGCCAAGAGCTGTTGGTGATTCCCAAAAGGAACATCTCTGGAATCTTTTGAAGTAAAAGCTTCTTGGAGCTGGAGGAGCTGTGGAGAGCTCGTGTGTTCTCGTGCTCCTCCCATGGGGGGAACTGAGGCCCAGAGAATCGGGTCTCCTGTCCCGCTGTGTGCCGGAAAGGACCATGTGCGCCGACTCCACTGCTGCTCTTTGGAACCCTGGAGGAACACGCTCGTCAGAAATAAGGTGCACCGGCCCGGAAACCCCACCCCGCTGTGTGGGCGTCTGTAGTGACATTAACTGAAAAGTCAAGTAGCTTCCAACAAGCTGAGCTCGTCTCAGCCCTCCTGGAGGCTCTGGCGGGCCCGTTTGCAAACTGGCATCTTTTTAAACGCACTGGTTCCCCCCAAGGGAGTCAGAATGTCTGTTCCGTTGGGAGTTGTGCAGGCGAGGGTGCGCCCGGGGGGCTTTGGTGCTGAGTTCTGAGGAGCTGGTGCTCTGGTTCGGGTCGGTGTCTGTTGCTTTCTTCAGTTTTGGCAAGAGTGAGGCAGTTTGGCCCTTTGTGGAGCCGCCGGTGTTCGGGCTGTGCCTGGGCGCTCGAGCTGCCCTGCCGTCCGAGGCGGGGTCGGGGGCCTGCAGGCGCCCCAGGAGACGGGACGCAGCGGAGGCCTCTGGGACACGAGGGGTGGCCTGAGGCTTTTCCTCCGCAGAGGAGACATCGTCTCCACCTGGGTGTCCACGTCACAAGCTGCCCGTGGACAGGGCTGTCGACCCTGTTCGCACTTGTGAGTCTCCAGGAGAGGACGCAGACTGTGGTGCTGTCGGCGATCGTGGACAGACCCCAGTGCCCACAAGGAGCCGGGTATCCGCGGTGTTTTCTCTGGGGCCTGCTGGGCGTGCTGCTGCCTGAGGCTCTCTCCTTCCGTGTGGAGCAGGGGCCGTGGAGGGGGAGGACACTGGACCAATAGCAGGTCTCCCCGCGGGACTTACCTCTAACTGGTGAGTCGCTCTGTGTTTTAAACAGCTGGAGGGGTGCCGGGTGGCGCTGTTGGTGAAGCGTCTGCCTTCGGCTCGGGTCATAATCTCAGGGTCATGGGATTGAGCCCCTGCTCAGCGGGGAGCCTGCTTCTCCCCTCGCCCCGCCCCACCCCTGCTTGTGTGCTCACTCACTCTCTCTGTCTCAAATAAAGAAGTAAAATATTTTAAAAAATAAACAGCTGGAGTCCATTGTTTTTTTTTTTCTTTAAAAAGTGTCCTTCTCCTTAATTATTGCCCCAACTTTGACCTAGTACTGACAAATCAAATTCAGAATAACAAAGCGAGCCGGGAGATGAATGGATAAGGAAAATGTGGTCCATCCGTGCAATGAAATCTTTAGCCTTGATGAGGAAGGAAATCCTGACACTGGCTACAACACGCATGAACCTTCAGGGCATTTTGCTGAGTGAAAGAAGGCAGTCACAGAAGGACAAATACTGATCACTTCTGTGAGTTACCTCGAGTAGCCTCAGACACAAAGTGGAAGGGGAGGTGCTGGGGGAGGGGACGGGGTTGTGTTGAGTGGGTGCAGAGTTTCAGTTCTGCAATATGAAAAAGTTAGAGATTGGTTGCCCAATAGTGTAAATACACTTTACCGAGCTCTACACTCAAAGTGGTTAAGATGATACATTTTAAGTTATATGTATCTTACCATAATTTACACATTAAAAAAAAATTAAGGGGGCTAGTATGAGTAAAGTCCTGATTCGTAGGCTAATGGATTCCTACTTTGATCAGTTTGTTTTGGAGGTTATGTGGATGTTACCTCGCATTCTAACACCACACGTAGTACGCTCTCTGATATTTTGATTGTGGCAGCAAGAAAGATGTATAAAGAGCTAATGAGTGTATAAAAGGGACAGCAGGTGCATTGCTGTGAAATAAGTGCATTACTTGGAAAAGTGCCTGTGATTGGCAAGGGAACACGGTAACTGTACGCTAAGTCGATGGTATATTTACATTTGCTTTTTAGGTGAAGCCAAAAATCTTCCCACTTACCCGGGGCCAAACAAGATGCGGGATTGCTACTGCACGGTGAACCTGGACCGGGAGGAGGTTTTCAGGACCAAGATTGTGGAGAAGTCGCTCTGGTAATGTCTGCTGTTTGCTTTCCTCCGTCCGCTTCCTCCTTGTGGCAGATGCCCGAACACAGGTGCCATTGGCCACCGTCCATGCTGCTCGGCGTGCGTGAGGCACTAGAATGTTCTGTGAGCTCCCGTCTGCCGGGGCCTTCGGGCTGCCGTCTTGGTGGCGGTCCCCAGATGCTCATGCTGGCCCAGGCTGAGTAGCCTGCAGGTGCAGGGGGAGCGGTCACCCACTGCAGGGGCGTGTGTGGGCACCTTCCTGTCAGAGATGAGCTGAAGGTCAAGGTGTGCGCCGGACATAGCAGCGGTCAGGCATTTTGACAGGTGAACATTTGGGAAGTTTTTTTTTTTTTTTTTTTTTTTTTTACCACCTTCCTTTAAACTTTCCCAGAGAGACAAATCTGAGATGGGCGTGGAAGTGGTGCTCACTGAGGAAAGGGGGCCCGGACAGCACTCGCTGAGAGAGCTAGAGAAGGTCATTTGGAAGGAGCAGCACCTAATAGGTCCTCAGGTCCTTGGGGAGTTTGCCATGCGATGAACACATCAGCACCTTGGAGGGTCAGCTGTTAAGGGCCACTCACCACTGGAGGGCTTGTCGAGACAGCTGTCTGCCCAAACATCTCTGACAGTCTCCCCGCGATGCCACCTCTGGACCACACCCCGGGGACAGGAGGGCTCCCTAAAAGTTGCAGCAGTTTCCATGGAGGGTGGGGAGAGAGAACGCGAGTGTTAGCAGGGGCGGACCTCGTGGTTTGCCGCCGGGCGAAGCCAACACAGCTAGTGGGGGTCCTGAGCAAGTCATTTATTACCAAGTGGCTGGTGGAGTGGAGCCGGGTCCTCCAGGAAGCCCGTGTTTACAAGTGTGGGTGGTGTGGACACACGCACACAGCTGTTTTCGGTTTGAGAGCGGTTTTTGCAGAACAAGTGTATCCTTCATACTCTTCTCTCTGAGAGGGCACAAGCCGCACGTTCTGACCGGACTTAGTTTTTACAGACCTGTTAGAGATTTCCTGTTCCTTCCATTCTCCGTCTGCACAGGGCCCCCCAGCACTGGGAGGCGCCCCTGAGGCCAAGTGGCCACAGTGTGTGGGCCGGGCATGCTGCAGAGTCTCTGGAATCATTCGTTGTAGGAAAACAGAACTCCTGAGTTGTCTGTCAGGAGTCGCGCCTGGCTTTGGGGCTGGTGATGGAGGTGAGGCCAGGGCTCATGATGTCACTGTAACCTTCTGGGTTACTTCCACGGTCCTGATGCCGGGTGAACCCTTTCTGTGTTTGCACAGTTGGCATTGATGCCTGGAGGTCCTATACCTGGAAAGTCACTGTGGTCTCAGGGAAGCTGGGCCCTACCCAGACCTGCTGAGCCCAGACCTCTAGGAAGAGAGTCTGCTTGGGAACCTCTGTTTTAGGCACGGCTGAGACTGGGGGTCCTGATCTTCAAAACATTTTAGACAAGTTTAGAAATGGAAACTGTGGTTCCTGGATTTAATGATACCAGGAAATGTGCTTCTGGAGTAGGAAAGGGAAGCTCAGAGCTAAATAAGGGTAATGATGTGGTCACACTGTCTGTTCAGAAAATCAGCCATCTGAGAAACAGCCAGAATCAGGTGGGAGCCCCCAAAATGCTGTCACAAGGAGCCAGTTACCAGTAGTCAGTGCCCTGAGGTAATGGTCTGACTTGGAAAATTCATGCTCTCCTTATGGACAGTTTTAATGAGCTTGGCTATTTTTGTTTATTTATTTATTAGCTCAATGAATGTTTATTTATATATTAAAAATTCATTCATTTGAGAGAGAGAGAGAGAGAGCAGGCATACATGCGCGTGAGTGAGGGAGGGGCCGAGGGAGAGAATCTGGAGCAGGTTCCCTGATGAGCGGGGAGCCTGATGTGATTCCAGGACCCCAAGATGATGACCTCAGCTGAAACCAAGAGTCGGATGTTAACTGAGTGAGCCACCACGTGCCCCTCAGTGAAAATTTATTGAGTGCTTCTCTAATGTACTGACAAGGAGAGGGTGCTTGCTCTAAACAGAAAGTTAAAAGTGACAGCAAAGAAAGATGCTAACACAAAATAATTCCAGGAACTTAAAAAATATGGGTGTATTTCACCATTTAGTATTGAGGCAAAAACTGTATTCACACTGGTGGACCTTGTGGGCGGGTAGCCCCAGAGCTCTGCTCCGTAGTGTCAGGGCAAAAAGCAAATGAACTCATCGTATAAAAGAAGTTAGCAAGGTGAAGTGCTGCCTCCACTTGGTGCCAAATATTTGAAACCAAAAACTAGCTCTTGTGAGTTTGCACACCTGAATCCAGAAGCCTCAGTCCATGCACAGGCATTGCCGTAGTCCTGGATAGTTGTAACATCCTCAGAGGTGACGAAATGCCAGTCAGAGCAAATCCAGACGTACCCTTCAGTCCAGGCCTCAAAGAATCTTCCTCTGTGATCTCTGAGGAGAAAATACAGAAGAACCCAAGGAGGTAAAGTGTCGGTGCATTTGCCAAGAAAAACAACAGAATCAGACCTGAAGGGTTTGCAGAAGGTCCGCCGACAAGGTTTAATGACTTTGAAGTAATAAGAGACAAGGTTGAAAACATGACTGGGATGAGGAATGATAAAGAATGATGAACCCAATTTCCAAAAGAACCAAATAGAATTCCCGGAAATGAAGGACACAAGAACTTGAATGAAAACGTCACTGGGTGAGTAAACGGCTTGATGGGGTTCGCTGGAGGGAGAAGGGGTGAATGGGAAGGCTCCAGACACACCCAGACACGCAAGGAAGTGGGAAGGACGAGGGGGTTAGGGACAGAGCAGAAGAATGTCCAAAGGTGTCTCACGAGGACTTGGAGGTGAGGGGGAAGAGGCCCGTGCACGAGGGTAGCTGGAGGGAGGCGACACGTAAAGATGCGGCTCCAGTAGCCTTGGCTGGAGGCCAGAAGCAGAAGACCCGTCTGCAGGCTCTGCTGGCTTTGAGGCAGGGGAGGAAGGCCGAGGCTCCCATGGCAGCTGCCAGCACGAAGGAAGTGGGCGCCCTGGGAGCCAGGCCGGCCGTGCCAACGGCCCCCAGTGTGGGCAGCACTCAGTCATCACCTGCGAGGAGTGCCCGCCCACCCGTGTCATCGCTGCGGAGTTTTCCCTCTCTCCAGCTCGTGTCTGCAGGCCTCAGCGTTTGCTCTCAGATCGGCTGCTCCATTTGGCAAAGTCGCTGTGGGAAGTAGGAGCCTCCATCTGGTCTCTGAACTCAAAAGAGCCAGAGGGCTTGGTGGCCTGTCCGGGCCTCGGGGGCAGGGTCAGTCCCGAACTCAGCTGCTGCCCAGCACCGTGTTTGGACTCAGACCGAGTACAGATGGAATGGGTCGGAGAGACGGGGACGTGCGTCTCCCTCCCTTCTCAGCAGAAGGCCATCCCGGGGCCCCTGGGGGGGACCATGCTGCTCAGGTGTCCCCGGCACTCGCATGAGGCTGCCCCTCACGAGTAACTCCTCCGTGGGTAACTTAGGGAAAGGCCCGAGTTTGTTCTTTGTGTTCCTTCGGCTGTGGGAGAGGGTGCTGGGGAGGCGAGGCTGTAGACCTTCTTGGAAGGGCTCATGGGGTCTGGCACTGGGGAGCCCCAGTCCTTTCCTCCTGGGCTTGTCCATTCTCCAGAAAAGTGATTTGGGGCAAAGTTTCTGTCTTACTAGGACAATACTTTCCTGACATTGAGCGTGAACTTTGTTCACTCGTAACTTCTGTGGCTTTAGTCGTGACATCACTTCACTGGCCGCTCGTTGCCGGCCGGCGCAAACTCAGGCTCCAGGGTGTTGGGCTGTCACATCGGGGCTCACAGGCAGCTGCCGTGCCAGACAGCACGGCACACGTGCATGACCCACCCGGAGAATCCGCCTCCTGCTTCCCAGACAGGGCTGGGGAAGGTCACATCACGGAGGAAATCACCACTTTCTCCAGTGAAAGAAGCATATTCTTGTTACGTGAACAAAAGTTAAAAACAAGACCTCTTCAATGCTGGGCTGCTCATTTGCAAGAATATTCCCCAAAGTACTCCATAGTCATTCCTTTTGTCAACACATGTGATTATTTCAAGGATGGAATTGCCTCCCTTTTCCCACAAAATGCCTACAAAGTGTGGGCACAGCTCCTGGCCCGAAGAGGAGCTGCCCCAAACTTCCTGATCTGACCCGCACCTTCCTCAGTGGCCACTGGGACGGGGCTGGGGTGCTGAACCTCTCCCCAGGGCCACTCCGAGACCCCCGCCCACAGGCAGTCTCCGTCTGCCTCCTCTCACCTGGTTTCTGTTGTGGGGAAGGGGCCACCCCCTGGCGCTGGCCTGTCTTCCCACAGAGGCTTCTCACCTTCCAGTGGGAGTGGTGGCCGCTCAGCCCAGAGTGTGCTGGTGTCTGATGACTGCTAACGGAGGGTCACAAAGTTGTGTTTGCAGTAAGATTCCCTCTTGTTCTGAAAACTGGGATTGTTCCAGAATGGTCTGGAATATGTGGACATAAATGTCAATGTGGTTATTTTCGGGGGGGTAGTGGGATTATGGGGGATGTTTTTGTTTTTGCTTTTTTACATAAGATTAGAAGTTAGACAGTAAAATAACCACTTTCTGGAGCAAAATGAGGAGGAGCTCGCGCATCACCGTGTTTGTCTACACAGCGAAATTACAGCCCCTCACATCCTGTCGTTCCTGCTGAGAACGTTCCCAAAGGAGAGGCCGTTCCCAGGCAGGACGGGTGTGCGCTTCCAAACTGGAATTAAAGAGCGTGTGGGTCTGTGACGAGTCAGCCCCCTTCTGCTCCTGAAAAATGCCCGTCACTCAGAACCCAGCGCTGCTGTGTGCCAGACCCAACTCCTGCCAGGGGGACCCTGCAGCTCCTGTCCTGGGGGGGACACGCTGCCTGGGTTAGACTCCGAAAGGGATGGCGAGGAGTCTGTGGTTCAGGAGGACAGACTCCATCTTCTTGGAGGTTTTCAGTAAAACCCAAGTTGTAGATGAGCAAATGCTGATTTTG